AAGTGGTTCCCTTATTGGCCTTAAGCGAATTTGAGTGTAATTATTCATTGACATAGCTGTGCACTGCTGAGCATTGTGCTTACAAATCGGTTTGTAATGGTTTTGAGGCATTTTGAGTGTGTGTGGGGGGGAGGGGGGGTGCTGAACAGAGGAAGAAAATAACCTAGTTTTCTAAATGCATATGATAGCTGTCAGCAATACCAACTTGATATTTAATTGCCGCTTCCCATGGGTGAGTTTGCTTGCCTATTCCTTGCTTACCTTACATGTACAATTTACAAGTCCTTCATGCGTTTATTTGGTTCATGGTTTATTTTTCATACCCTGCTGGTTTTTGTTCTGTTTGAGTGATCTCCCTACGATGTTGACAGGAGAAGTATTTCCAGTCTCTTGTCTTACATAAGGACACAACTGAGTTTTTGTTAATCTGGGAAGTTTTGGCAGCTCTCCCAGATGCTTCAGCTTCATGCCTGCAGGTTCCTCAAATACAGTGTACAAATTACTTCAAGTGGGTGGGTTTCATTATGTGTGGAGATAACTATATTAATAAGGAGAGCGTATTTTAAATTAAACATGTGAATTAAAGAAATTCATTAAGGCTATTTTTATGGGTAGATTTCATTGGATACTTTGGTTTTAGTTTGGCTATTTAAAAACCTTTTTACAACTCTGTTAATGAACTTGGTGATTTACGAAGCTGGATAAGACATGTTCCCTGCCCCAAAGAGCTTATAACTTAAATAAATCACTTGAGACTATTACCAAGACAGCGTATAAGGAACTAAAACATAAACCTAAAATCATCTGAAGATGCATATTTTGAAATTAGAATGTCAAGAACTCTTGGATTTTGGGAGGAAGAACTATTATCATGGGACAAGATTTGCTACTGAGTTTAGTTTTTTTCCTTTGTAAATTCATAACAGGTATTTGTTTCTGTTACTCTCTGGAATTAGGATGAGCATCGGAAATGGTGGCTGTGATTAATGTTCTTCCGACTGTTGAGCCAGTGAAATTGATGTTATGTGGAATTATGTGGGTAAAACCTTGAAAAGTGTCTGAACTAGGAGCCTCGTTCTCACTGGAATGGAATTGGGCTCTAAACACACTTTGGTGCTTATGAAAATGCTACCCAGTGGCAGTAGAGCAGTTGTCTGTCAGGGATAAAGCAGAAGTTAGCACTTCAGAAGACAGTTTGGCGTAGTAATTCTCTGCAGTCCAATACTACTTTATTTTGGATGCCTGTATAGCACCCTGAACACAAACGGAATCCTAAAGTACCTAATGGAATTAAACAATGAAGTAACAGAGAAAAGTAGAAAGAAATAAAATCTGCAGGGGAAAAACAGGTTTTCAACAGGAATTTAAAACGAGTCTTCAGCTATGATGGGAGATTATTCCTGATTCCCGGAGCCATACAGAAGGCTACCACTTTATTTCCAATGGCAAGTTTGTGGCGTCACAAACATGACGGGTATCGTTGATTAGAATCCAGTGGGGCAGGTGCTTAAATATAAGTGCCAGAAGAGCGCCTTTGACTTAAATGAGACTCTACATACGCCTAAGGTTAAGGTTGCATTTAAGCACTTTGATTAATGCTGTTCCCCTGCTTTGCCCCCATTATGCTTTGGTACCTCCCATACACCTGGGAGTACAAAGTGAAGGTGTGTAAGGCTGCACATACCTACATCATTCCTGGGTTGCTGCAGCTCTTCTTTGTCCCAAGATCGTGGATGAGAATCTGGCCCAAGCTGTGTAAGAATTCCATAAAGACACAGAGGGGAAATGGATGAGAACCATAGAGTTGTTAAAAGATGGGAATGCTGACTCCACAGAGCCAATGCGTTCTGCACATGCTAATATTTGGCGGGGGGAGGGGGGAGGGCAGTAGTTAGTCTGTTGTATTTCAGTTTCTACTGCTCTACAGCAGAAACAAACCTACCCCAGGTCTGGGTGCCTTAGATAATCTCTTAAAATTACTCTTCTTAAAGTCAAATGATTCTGATCACAGTGTCCCAGCAATAAAATCCACGTCACTGGAATTTAGGTGTTATGATGGCTACTCCAAAGCTTTTCCCAAAAATTGCTAAAGTAAACGGAGAGGAGATAAGTGTTTTTTTTTTTTTTTTTAAAGGAGGAGGATGGCTTGAGCAGATATGGACTATGTGGCAGTTAGTGGTGAAGACAGGTGGTAGATTGGCAAGTGTGATATATGAAAAGGAGATAAGGTGGTTGTTGATTTCCCAGTCATTAGAAGGAATGCAAGGTCTCAGTTAAAGGAGGAGATAGAAGAGAGATGGAGCATTATTTCTTTTAACCAAGAAAAGCACTTCTGTCTGTGACATTGTGTGCATGAATGTTCCATATTAAGTAGTTCTCATCATAGACCAGTGGTCCCCAACATGGTGCCTGCGGGCATCATGGCACCCGCGGGGTCATTTGTGTGCGCCCGCCAAGTGCTCGGGGCTGGCCTGGCCCTGGGCACGTGGCGCATGCATGGTGCCGAAGCCGGCCCCGGGCGCATGGCGCACGGCGAGCGCCGGCCCCAGGAGCACCGTGGATTGGCCGCCTGTGCTCTGGGCGCACGGCGCTTAGGGGGGAGCCCCGGGCGTGCGGCGCTTGGGGGGAGCCCCGGCCCTGGGTGCACAAGTGTTCCCGCCCTCTGGTGCCCGGCAGGCGAAAGGCCACACCCCCTGGCACCCAGCAACCTCCAGTGGTTGGGGACCACTGTCAATAAAATCAAATATTCTGAGCTATCCACCAATGAATATTACATCTAGCTGCCATACCATTAAAACAAGGTGAGGAGATGGTTGGTTGGTTTTGTTTTTGTTTTAATGGCCAAAACCTGCTCTCTGAAAATGATAAAAAGCTTAAACTAAATTCTAAGCATGGCTGGAAGTGTTTCATGTCTAGAGCGTTAGCCATTGCTGTCAGTTGTTTGTGAAATGGAAACTAGGAGAACAGAGGCTTCGGCTGTGTCAGGACTGAGAGGATATTTTGTTGACAGTTTTCATATTTGGAATTTAAAATGAATCTTCTTCTGCCAACACTGCCAATAGCATGGTTTCCATTGTCTGCGCTGATTTGCTATCTGGTTTGTCGTTCATGCAACTGTAACGTTACTTTATTCTGCAGATGTTTCTGTAGTTTTGTCCTTGCCACTCATGACAGAGGTGCTTATCATCCACCAGTGCTGCAGTTGTCTCTCTGAGCCTCAGGTGCACAACGATCAGTAACTTCCTCTGTCTTCCGACTGACATTGTAACTGCGTAAAAAAATGTAATGGCATATTCTGTGCCCTCAGCAAAACAGTGAAGCAAACTCCCACAAATTTAAATAATTCACCCCAGAGCCTCTACTAAAGTGTCTAAAGTTAAATATAAAGCTGCAAGCTACATAGCATGCATCAGAGATGTTTTCGGCATATTGTAAACACCAGTTTAATCCTGATTCCCAACAAGGTCAAAAACAGCTCCATTTTTCAAGCAATTAGAGTGATTGTCAGACTGCTCAACTAGTGATTGTTCACATTTTAAAGCAGTAATATTTGGGACATAATAACTAGTCTCTCATTTGGTTAATGTAAAACAAAGTTCAAAATTATTTTCAGAAATACTATAAAGGAACAATTTCTCACTGTTATTTTAGTGTTATAAAATAGTTTGGAAAGTGGATACTTAATGAATTGGACATTTTGTGTCTGGTCAGTGGACACCCCTTTGCTTAGAGTCCAATCCTAAAAAGTGAAGTTGCTGGACCTGGTCATGGAAGCATTGGGGTGTCTCAACAAAATGTTTGTAAGAGTGTTAGAAACCTGTATTGTTCTCTAACCATGTTTGGGAAATGGGGAAGTTTCATCGGCTCACCCATCACAAGTCAACCTGAAGTTTTTAACAGTTGTAACAATTAAAAATAAAATCTTGTAATGGAAATGTCAGGTGACCTTAGCAATCATTGCTGCGTGCTCTGCCTATAGTACTGTATGTAACGGGGCTTCTCTTACACAGAATGCTAGCCTAGATATTTAGTGGAGGCTTGCATGGATTGCCTTAATGGGATGTTGCACAAAACTATTTACATACTTTCACACCTTTTAATCCTTTAATCCAAGGGATTTGTCTCAGCGTAAATAGAAAGGCATCATATATGATGACCTACAAGATATTCTGCTGCAGGGTTTATACAGCATTCTTTATGTCATGAAACAACACTAGGTGTGGCACTGTTAAATACCCTTTAAAAGTTGTCAATAAAAAAGTAACTAGTTGTTGGGGGGGGAAGTCCTGATTTGAGTAGAAGATAGGAACACCCCAGAGAAGAAACACAGCCTTCCTGTGTAAATATCATGGGAAGCCTTGCATCCCATGCATTGGCTGTATTACAGCCCAGATGCCTCCAGAGAACAGTTGCATGGCACTGTGCAGGAGGCAGAGGGCGCTTTATTTAGGTATGTGTCTCGAATGCCACTAATTTACTTTGATTCATGTGTCAGAACTGGATAATCTTGCCAGGCTGCTTCAATGAGTCTGTATAATCCAACGATTGCCATGTGTAACTGAGTCTAGTGCAAATTAATACCACAGCTCTACAGAGTCAAGGAGGTGAGCAGGTTTGAATGTGCTGTGGAATGGCAAATGAAAGCCAATTTTTTATTCCTTAGAAAAATAAAAAATATTGTTGGGCACTGATGTATTCTCTTATGAGGTGACTTGATATCCCCACTTCTCCCCTTCCCTCTTCCCTTGCCACTTCCATTGCAGTGGAGATTTGGTCTGCTTGCTATACAGTGATGTGTCCTTTAATATTCCCATTAGTGTTCAGTAGCTACCTTTGGCCTGCATGTCAGCCTTCAGTTTAATGGCCTTCTTTGTGTGTGTTCATTTGGTTTTGTTTCCCATCGTGGTTTTGTTTATTTCTTTTGTTTTTTTCCCTGTTTTCTTTCTTTAAACCGTCGTGATGTTTGCCCTTCATATTCCCCAATGTTTGCACATGACAAGATGTTGCCATCCCAACATTACCTCCCACTTCACTGACAAGTGCCACTACTGACCATCTAGCACCAGCCACCAGTGGACCCTTGCCTTCGGCTCCCCGGGACGTCGTGGCCTCCCTCGTCTCGACTCGCTTCATCAAACTGACATGGCGGACACCAGCTTCTGATCCGTACGGAGACAACCTCACCTACACGGTATTCTACAGCAAGGAAAGTATGAACAGGTAAAGATCTGTGAATTGGATTGAACTTCGTTTTTCGCATCTTCTCACAACTCATGCCAATTTCTGAGAGCAAACTGTGTGTGTAGAGTGGCTCCGTGCAGTGTCCAAAAGCTAAAGGGATAGAGGGTTGCCAAAGAGTTACTGGAAGCCGGTAGAACTGACAGTCATTGATGATTGTTCCAGAGCTAAGTTTCCAAGGCTCACTTAAAATATCCTTGCAGAACAAACTCTGGTGGTTTTAAAACTGAAGTGCATTCGTGAGGTGGCTTTGAATCTTTGCAATAGATCAACTGTCTACTTTGAGCAGACTGCTCAATAGCTAAAAGTGCTGGTGGCCTTTGTTACCATCTGGGTGCTGTTAGTGCAGAAAACTCTTGCACTATAGTAGCCCTTAAAAGGTCAAGAGATATATCCCCACAATATCAGAAATGCAGAACATATTTCATATTCTAAAACCGCAGATGTAGTGCCCATCTTCAAAAAAGGGAAGGAAGATGATCCAGGGAACTATAGGCCGGTCAGTCTTACCTTGGTCTCTGGAAAAATCATGGAAGGGATCCTTAAGGAATCCATTTTGAGGCACTTGGATGAGAGGAAAGTGATCAAGAATAGTTAGCATGGATTCACAAAGGGCAAGTCGTGCCTGACCACTCTGATTAGCTTCTATGATGAGGTAACTGGCTCTGTAGACATGGGAAAGTCAGTGGATGTGATATACCTTGACTTTAGCAAGGCTTTTGATACGGTCCCACAATATTCTTGCCAGCAAGTTAAGGGAATGTGGATTGGATAAATGGATGGTAAGATGGATAGAAAGCTGGCTAGAAGGTAGGGCCCAGTGGGTAGTGATCAACGGCTCGATGTCAGGATGGCAGTCAGTTTCTAGAGGAGTACCCCAAGGTTTGGTTCTAGAACTGGTTTTGTTCAATATCTTTAATAATGACCTGGGTGAGGAATTGGATTGCACCCTCACCAAGTTTGCAGATGGCACTAAGAGAGGGGGAGAGGTAGATACACTTGAGGGCAGAGATAGGGTCCAGAGAGACTTATACAGATTAGAGGATTGGGCCACAAGAAATCTGATGAGGTTCAACAAGGACAAGTGCAGAGTCCTGCACTTGGGATGGAAGAATCCCAAGCATTGTTACAGGCTGGGGACCAACTAGCTAAGTAATAATTCTGCAGAAAAGGACCTGAGGATTACAGTGGAGGAGAAGCTGGATATGAGTCCACAGTGTGCCCTTGTAGCCAAGAAGGCTAATGACATATTAGGGTGCATCAGGAGGATCATTGCCAGCAGATCTAGGGAAGTGATTATTCCCCTTTATTCAGCTCTTGTGAGGCCACATCTGGAGTATTGTGTCCAGTTCTGGGCCCCCCCACTACAAAAAGGATGTGGACGCATTGGAGAGGGTCCAGTGGAGGGGAACCAAAATGATTAGGAGGCTGGAGCACATGACCTATGAGGAGAGGCTGAGGGAGTTGGGCCTGTTTAGTCTGCAGAAGTGAAGAGTGAGGGGGGATTTGAGAGCAGCCTTCAACTTCCTGAAGGGAGGTTCCAAAGAGGATGGAGAGAGGCTGGTCTCAGTAGTGACAGATGGCAGAACAAGGAGCAATGGTCTCAAGTTGCGGTGGTAGAGGTCCAGGTTGGATATTAGGAAAAACTATTTCCCTAGGCGGGGGGTGAGGACTAGAATGGGTTACCTAGGGAAGTAGTGGAGTCTCCATCCCTAGAGATTTTTAAGTCTCGGCTTGACGAAGCCCTGGCTGGATTGATTTATTTGGGATTGGTCCTGCCCAGGGCAGGGGGCTGGACTTGTTGACCTTCTGAGGTCTTTTCCAGCTCTATGGTTCTATGATTCTGTGATTCTAAGAGGCCTTTTTTCAGATTCCACGTGCTGCGGTGCGGTAACTCTTGATGACTGTAGACCTTTTCATGCAGAACAATTGCTACTAAAATCATCGTAGTGCTGATTGTTCGTGAATCTGGTGTTGGTTCCGTGCTTCACCAGTTGAATTCAATCCATCCAGCTTTTTTACAGAAGGGATCTGCTGTGAGAAGGGCAGTGTCATCACAACATAGAAGTGCCTGTGTTTGGTAACCAGGAGTTAACACTCAGTTTAAGCAGTTCTGGGATGTAAAATAGGTTGCTGTTAGAAACTATGAGAGGAAATGGGTCAGATTCTCATTGATGGGAGAGGCCAGCCTTTGTGTTACCTAATGTTGAGAGCTCTGGATTGAGAGTCCACACCAAAACTCAGGGTGGGTGTGACCATCACTCCAGTCCCAGGCTGTGATTGGTTGCAAACCTAAAAAGATGCTCTTTGTACAATTTGCCATTCTCCACAAAGGCCCCTCTTGCTGTGCCTCCTTGCAGTGGAGTTTCTAGCTTCCCTTAGCTGTGTATGGGGAGAAGGGACATTTGCGGGTGCCTCCTTTTCACTCTTTAAAGTCTTCGGGGGATGTCAAGGTGTTGGCCTCTCCACCACGTGGGGCAGTTTTTTGGTGTGGCCATCTGCCTCCCTCCATTCAGTCGTGTAAATAAGAGAGCAGGAGCCAGGAAGATGCGTCGTGTTGGTGCTGGAGTGTTCCTCTATTGAGAGGGGGCAGAAGCATCCCTTCATCTTTCGAGGATTACCGAAAACTCCAGGCTGTTACCATGCAGGACTTGATTTGTTTGTGTTCACTTAGTTTGGCCCACACAAACTCTGCTGTGGCCCCAGTTGCTGGTATTTGCTTTAAGCATGAGAGTCATGCTGGACATAAGGGCATGTCTACAATGCAGTTCAACAGCTGTAGTTGGCCTGCATCAGCTCACTTTATAACATTGCAAAGTAGATGTTTGTGCTGGAGCTGGGATTTGATGCCCCCCAAATGGGGAGAGTCTCCAGCCCAACCTTGAATGTCTACATTGCAGTGTTATAGCCCCTTAAGTCCCATGAGCCTGCATCAGCTGACACAGGCCAGTCATGGGTGTTTTACTGCAGCGTAGACCTACCTTGTGCGAGGTGGACACAGCCCTCACCAGCATTCCCACAGACTCTGCTGCTACCTCTTTCCACAAGTGTATTGTTCTGCCAAATAAAGGCAGGTATAATGCTTGCCTGCTTTCCCAGGGTGCTATGTCATTTAACCTTTATAGTTGCGATCGTGAGATGAAAGCTGGACTCGGACAGCAGCCTACCTGTGGCTAGAAAATGTCATGCAACTTAAAGAAGAAGCTAAAAGAAAAATGTAACGGACCAGCACCCTCTCTAAATGCTGTGCCTTGTCATAAAAATGACCTGCCTTATCTTTATTCAAATTAGGCATGACCTGACAAGTTGCCAGTGTTTATCCAGTGTAAGCTGAATTTTGATGCTGTTGAACTTAATTAAGCAAACAATTGTTCAATTGAATTGTTTATTAGAGGAATATATTAGTTAACATGGAAGCTAATCTTCCATTCAAAGCCTGATTCTTGTCTTTTATCCTATCTAGACCAGTTGGCTTGACATTTCACAACAAATCCTGTGGTAGGATTTAAGGAGGTATTTGGGAGATGTAAGGCAGCAAATCGGATGTGCCCTCATCTTGAATCCAATTAAGATTAGAAAAAGATCTGTCATAGACATACCAAGTTTGTCTTGGAAAGGGTACTGTCAACTTGAAATTCGGTCGTTAGAGAGCTTGACTGGTCACATAGTACTGGCTACTCCATATTCCTACTTCCAGTGTTGCAATGAAAGATAGCAAGCCTACACTAAGGCTGAGATGATCCAAAAGATCTAGAGATTCAGGCACCCAGCGTCCACTGAATTTCTGCTATTCCCCTTTGAATTTCATAGTCTTTACATACTTGATTTTTCTATATAAGGTGGGTTATGAATCATTCTCTCTAGTACAACACAGTACACCATAACAAAAACTGAAAATTCCTAGCAAAACCTAACTTCGGGGATTAGTCTACTGAGTCCCTTAGTCATTCCTTTGTGACTTGCAATCACATTTTCCTATTTAAATGTGGGGTTGTTGTGGGAAAAGATTCATCTGGCCATCAGAACCAGAGAAACTGATTATGCACAAAATAATTTGAAAATGGGGAGAATTATTTCATGAAACTGTTACTCTAATCTTAGATATTTAACAATAAAAGACAGAACAATTCAGACAGAGGAGTGGTTCACAATGGGTATCCAATTAACTTTTTTGGTGCAGACTGACTTTTCAGTCAGTGAAAACGTGAGGTTCTTCTCACAGAGCTATTGAAACAGAATTCCTACAAAAGGGAAAACAGGCAGCAAAAATTTCCATAATGTGAAACTATTTTGGACCCCGTAACTGACAGACCTGAATTGTCTGGACAGCTTTTCCTTGTACCACGTGAGCGGCAAATAAGGTGGTTCCTGCAGAATACCCCATTCACCACGGATTCCCTTTCCCTGAATTGCTCTGTAGAGGGAGTGAGCCACACAGGGTCAAGTTAGGAGCTTCATGAGAAGACTGCAAAATATCCTTTGCATGATGAGAGGCTGGTTTTTCACTGCAATGCTCAGGCACACACCACAGGAGCAGTAATACCATACTAAATGTCAGCTTTCACTTACCAGCTGCTTCATCTGTAGAGCTGTTCAAAAAGAGGCAGAAAAAAAAGTATATTTTCCATTTTCCTTGTACTGCAAACATCTGAATCAATTTTTGTTGCTTAAAAAAACATCCTCAGGCAGAGAATCGGTTTTAAAAGGAGAGCGGAAAGTTACAGAAAACAAACAACTGAAAACAAGGAGCAGCGATGCAGCTACTTATGCAGGCTGCTATTGTGGCTGCTTCCACTACTCCTGATAATTACAAAGCAGGTTTTGATATTATAAATTCCATGTGGCCCAAATGCTGACAGATGCACTGCAAGGGGAAGGAGTCATGGAAAGCTGTCTTGAGGGGGCAGGAGGCAGAAGAGGATCTTTTGTCACATTTTGTACTAATTTGTGAGTGATCAGAGCATGCCAGATGGAGGAGGCGAGCATTTGGGGCCCATCTCGGAGCTATTCCCGTTAAATCCAGTAAATCTTTAAGGGCCTCCATCACAGGATACAGGATTTCTCTTCTAACAGTAGAATATGGAAGCAAAACCAAGCAGCTCCGTGGGCAAGAGTGGCTGTGTGGGTTACCATAACTGGACTTTAAATCACACGCCCAAAGGGGATGAGACGGAACCAGGGGGCTTTGTTTCAGTAATAATTTCCTAATGTTTGGATTTTTTTCAAATGTAACCTGAAATACAAACTTCCAGGCTAGCATTTGTACCTTTTTTTTTCTTTTTAAGAAAAATGACAATATTCTCGTGAGCTTTTTTCCCTGCAGTAATGGATTGTTCTTTGCAACCTTACTTCCATCTTACAAAGCTGTGAGGGAATTTAGAGGGAGTGAGAGAGAGTACCCTGACTGTTCTGCTGGGTAATATAGTTATTCATATCAAACATCTGTTATGTTACCTATTGTGCATATCTGAACACTTTGGAGTCCATAAAGGTATCCAGGGCTCCCAAAGAAAGAGTAGAAAAGAGAGATTTATGGAGGACTTAATTAATCTTATCTCAACATATTTTAACAGACTGTTCTGATGGAGGGTACAGTCCCTGTTATTACTGGCAATTATAATGCTTTAACAGATCAGTTTAATTTCTGGTAAGTAAGTGTCACTTTCCACTCCAAGAATTTTATTTTCATAATTTTGCAAAACAACTTGAGTGTTTTTTAGATAAAACTAGTGAGTACATCCACATTTGGGTGATAAAATGTGATCTATTTTGCATGTCAATGAGATATTCACAGCTGTTGAACAACATTCATTTGATTACACTTGTTCTGTGTATTAAATATTAATCCGTATGTACAATGTAGGCTTTGAAGGGACCCCATCAATTAGTACATTTGCATTGCTAATTGAAAATTTTGTACCTACTGTAACTGGAAAAGTTAGTTTGGGGGGGGTGGGTCTGACTGTTTTTCCAGTTTGATAACACTTTGGGGACAGTCGGTTTCACTGTCTAGTTAGTCAGCAACTTGCTTGTTGAAAAGAATTCCATAAACAGCAAAAGAGCAGAAAGCTAGTTAAAGTTCAGAACATATAACTAGAGTATTCTGTCACACTGAAGTTTCAAAAAATAACTTAATTTGAATTAACTCTGTGTTTAAGGCTCCTTCTACACTATCAGAGAGACAGTGCTGGAAAACTGGTTTTAGACATTGATTTTAAAAACTAGTTTTAGGGAGTATGACTTTTTCTTCAATTGAGGCAAAGCATAACATTATGATTTAGACACAAATGGCTTTGAAAACCGTTTTGAAAACCAGTCTCTACTTGGGCACAAATCTAGCTGAAACTTTTAAAAAATCTCTTTTGAAAACTGATTTCATTGCACTCTCTTTTCATAATAAGATCTGAAGGCAATGGGGAGAAAAAGGGGAAAACTGAATGACAGAAGCTTTGTTTTACTTTTTTCAATACAAATGAGTTAATAGCTGGTAACCATTAGTGTGAGAGTGGTCTGCCCTCTGCTGCAGAGTTAAATCAAGTGCACTAATCAAGAGGGAGAATATGGTATTAATGTGTGAACATTTTCCTTTTTAAAGCACTGGGCAGTTGCTGATGTCTGCTGCTATAATAATGCTCTTATTTTAATTTGCAGAGTGGAAGAGTTTGCCTTTTCCAAGCAAAACAGAGTATTTAAATGATATTTTTAAAACACCTGCCTGGCAAAAAGTGAAATGAAAGTAATAACTGCTGGTGGTTTTCAGGTGTTAGCTTTTCCTTTCAACTTTAAGTTGGATCAGACAACTATCAATATTGTTCTCCTACCATGAATGCATCTGTGGCAGCATTTTCTGCTACTATGTAGCTGTGATAGATGTTAGCCAAGTTTGGGGGCACTAGCCCCTCTGGTTGCAATAATATTCTGGCATGTGTAATGTGTTCTCCCTGCTGGAATATAGCCTGTAACTCTCAATTGATTGAACTTCAGTATCTTGTCTGAGGGTGCTCCGATTACTTGGCTCTTCATGCTGCCCAGAGGATCTGTATAATGTGGTACCAGTGGTCTCCTGCAGAACGTTTTTGTGAAAAACTACCTCATTGTGTCCCTTATTCGTGCCTCTCGGGGTGGTAAACAGATCAGCTCTCCCCTGGGGACACAAATGACTCTTCCCAGAGTTACATTGAGAACGATCTGATCAGCTAGTCTGACCTCCTGAGTCTCAAGAGGCCAGTGCATTCCACCCCGTCACCCATGGATTGAGCTGAGTGACGACGTGTTGCTAAAGCAGCACTCGTGTTGCTAACACAGCTCTTCCAGAAAGGCATCCAGCCTGCAGCTGAGGAGAGCGAGATGGAGAATTACTGTTCCCCTTGGTGATTTGTTCCAGTGGTTAATCAACCTCGCCATTTAAAAATGTGCCTGACTTCAAATCTGAATTCATCTGGCTTCAGTTTCCAGCCATTGATTCTTGTTCAGTCTTTCCACTATATTACAGAGCCCTGTGGATCCATTATCTTCTCCCCATGATGCTACTTAAATCAAGTCCTCTCTTAATCTTGGTTTTGATAAGATAAGCAGATTGAGCTAAACCTTGCACTGGGAGGCATTTTCTCCAGCCCCGTAGTCGGTTCTGTGGCTCTTTTCTCCAGACTTCTTGACAGTGTGTGTGTCACTAGTGCTGTATGGAGGGGAGGGGAGAGCCACCGCCTGACTCTCAAGTGAGCTTCCTCCAGCTTAATTAACTGATCTGGCCTCCTCGGCCTAATTCTGCTCTTCCAGGGCCAGTGTGGGGAGCACAGTCCATCACAATCTCTATCCACGAATAGTCCTGTACCATTGATCTGATTTATTTTGTTCCTAATGTACTTTAAACAAATAAATAAACCCCCCTTCTGCTTTATCAGTAGCCCTGCTAGCCTGGGATTTTTCACTTATCCATTTTCTACACTTCGCAACTTCTAATTTATATCAACTGCTATAGCTATTTCTCCATTTTCCCATCTGTTGTGTATTGCTTTTTTAAAATTTCTGACCAAGAATGGGCTTTTAGTCAAACTTGTTCTCTTTATTCATTATGGAATTGGGGGGTGAGGGGTTGGGCCTACTAATCAACTCTTCTTAAAACTCCTAATTTTCACTCACATTTTTCTAGCTTTTATTCCCCCTCTCCATCATGTTTGCTCATAATTGTCAGCTTTGAGAAACTAGCCCTTTTGCAAGAGCGACAAGGAGTCCTGTGGCACCTTATAGACTAACAGGTGTATTGGAGCATAAGCTTTCATGGGCAAAGACCCACTTCGTCAGCTGTTTTGAACATCTCTGTGTGTGTAATGTATATACATTTTATATATTTATCATTTATATTTAGAAAGTCTAAAGATGTTTTTATAGGTCTTCAGAGAGCTGATTGGTCACATAGGAGAGAAATCGTGTTTCCCAAATGTGGAAGTAACTCATCTTATCTTTACTTCCATCTACTGGTCTGTTACAAACCCCCAACACCCCACACTGGATTAAAACTGTATTGCATCTTTAACCAGCCAGCAACGAGAGGGAGGGAAATTCCAGCAAAATATTAAAAACTCTCTTCATGTCTGTTTAACCTGCACCCATCCACCGTAGCCCAAATTAATGAAATTTTAAAAGGTCAGGACCTACTACCACTCGCTTTGCTGAGCATGTGATTTTCAAGTGCGGCACTGCATGTGATTATAAACAATAGTTGTGTTTATGGTGCCTAAAGAGTCCTTTCAACACATCCCTCACATAAACTATAATACAGATTGACCTCTTCTGAGCCAGTTGGGATAAATTTCAAAGGCTCTTACTCACATCTTTACACATCACAGGTCCCACATGGACTGAATAAAATTGTTGCTTTAGAGCAGATGGAAAACTGTACAGTCTGACTATGGGCTTTTTCTATTGTCACTGTCCAGTGATGTCACTTTTCAGGAATACAGCTAAACTCAGAAAAGCCAATACTTTGGGGAAGTACTTTTCATCATGTGACCTTCCCAGCTGCTGGGCTGATGGGCATGGCTGCAGTTTTACTTTGAGGTCATGATATGAACTAAAAAAAAAATCTGTTAAATTTTAAGTTGAGGGTTGAGTCTCCATCCGAAACCTAAATGTACACCAGTGGCCATGACTAGGCTCTTCATGTTGGCTATTGCAGGGGTCTAAGTGTATTCCGTACTGCACTGATTCTTAGAGGCACCAGGCAAGGAAATATATTTCATTGGATCAACTTTTGCTGGTGAAAGTGACAATACTGCCAACATGGACTTGGACATTGAAATAGATTCCAAATACCAGAATGAAATAAATCAGGTTTGAGCTCAAAAGAGACTCTTAACTGATGCTTTAACAAAAGGTCCTCTGAATTCATAACCAAAGTAATTTAAACTCTTCTTAACTTTTCTCTGGGACTTTGAACTTCTGTGACAAATTTTCAATTTGAATGACTGCTTACGACGAATCAGTTAAAAGTGCCTTCATCTCACCTCGAGGCGTTCCATGTAGCTTTTTTCCTTTGCTATGTTTGTTCAAAATGAAGTTGCAAAATTAGAAGCTGTTTGTCTTCAATGCTTTTGGCATGTTAGCATTAATGGGTAATCAATGTAATACAATCAAGCCTATCAATTGCGTGTTAGATTAGTACAAACCGAGCGTCTGTTAAATTCGTACCATCCTTTTACTAATCGATATTAAATCTGTACTTTTGGTTTCCTGCCCAAATCCTTTATTTACTAAAGGGAACGTGTTGAAAATACAAGTCGCCCTGGAGAGATGCAAGTGACAATCCAAAACCTGATGCCAGAGACTGTGTATGTTTTCAGAGTTGTGGCTCAAAACAAACACGGCCCCGGAGAGAGCTCAGTACCACTGAAGGTGGCAACTCAGCCTGAAGGTAAGCCTTGAACATTTCTTCCACTTACTGACTTTCTTTGGCCTGGATCTACAACTGCTGGGTCTCTTCCTTCTCTTGGCCTCTTCTCACCCTGAGTGGCAACTCATGCTGTGTTTGCACTTGCAGACCTAGGATAGCCGCAGACTGAGGTTTTTCAAGTCTGCTCCATATTGTGATACTAAGCCAGTCTGTGTTACTTATATTTGGAAAAATCAATTGACTATTGTAATGTATATGGAGCCTTAACACTAAAAGTAAATATTAAAATTTCTTAAATATTTGAATTTGTGTTCTATTTTGTCACAGTATAGACTACTCCAAATAAATACTGACCTGAAAAAGGAGCTCTCTGCTTCTTGAAAGCTTACCCATAGAAGAGCTCACCTCTTTCACACACACAAGTTGATCCATAAAAGATATTACTTCATCTCTCATGCCTCTCGGATTCCAGAACCAGCAAGGCTGTAGAAATGCAGCAGGTCGCTTAAAGCGTTAACTGGGAGTTAACACTGGAATAAGTTCAGATTGGAACTGGAAGGCAGATTTTGATAAGCTCAGAGAACTTATAGGTAAGGTCCCATGGGAAGCAAGACTGAAGGGAAAAACAACTGAGGAGAGTTGGAAGTATTTCAAAGGGACGTTGTTAAGGGCCCAAAAGCAAACAATTCCGCTGTGTAGGAAAGATAGAAAATATGGCAAAAGACCAGCTTGGCTTAACAAGGAGATCTTGCACGATCTCAAAATAAAAAAGGAGTCATATAAAAAATGGAAACTAGGACAAATAACAAAGGATGAATATAGGCAAGCAACACGGGAATGCAGGGGCAAGATTAGAAAGGCAAAGCCACAAAATGAGATCAAACTAGCTACAGGCATAAAGGGAAACAAGAAGACCTTTTATAAATACATTAAAAGCAAGAGGAAGACCAAGGACAGGGTAGGCCCACTGCTCAGTGAGGAGGGAGAAGCAGTAACAGGAAACTTGGAAATGGCAGAGATGCTCAATGACTTCTTTGTTTCGGTCTTCACCGAGAAGTCTGGAGGTGTGCCTAACGTAGTGAATACAAGCAGAGAGAGGGTAAGTTTAGAAGATAGGATACACAAAGAACAAGTTAAAAATCACTTAGGAAAGTTAGATGTCAGCAAGTCACCAGGTCCTGATGAAATGCATCCCAGGATACTCAAGGAGCTGATAGAGGAGGTATCTGAGCCTTTAGCTATGATCTTTGAAAAATCATGGCAGACAGGGGAGATTCCAGAAGACTGGAAAAGGGCAAATATTGTGCCCATCTATAAAAAGGGGAATAAGAACAACCCAGGAAACTACAGACCGGTCAGTTTAACGTCTGTCCCAGGGAAGATAATGGAGCAGGTAATTAAGGAAATCATATGCAAACACTTGGAAGGTAATAAAGTGATAGGGAATAGCCAGCATGGGTTTGTGAAGAACAAGTCATGCCAAACTAATCTGATAGCTTTCTTTGATAAGATAACGAGCCTTGTGGATAAGGGAGAAGCGGTGGATGTCATATACCTAGACTTTAGTAAGGCATTTGATACGGTCTCGCATGATATTCTTATTGATAAACTAGGCAAATATAACTTAGATAGGGCCACGATAAGGTGGGTGCATAATTGGCTGGATAACCGTAGTCAGAGAGTTGTTGTTAACGGTTCTAAATCCTGCTGGAAAGGGATAACAAGTGGAGTTCCTCAAGGGTCTGTTTTGGGACCCATACTGTTCAATATCTTCATCAATGATGTAGATATTGGGATAGAGAGTACGCTTATTAAGTTTGCAGATGATACCAAACTGGGTGGGGTTGCAACTTCTTTGGAGGATAGGGACATAATTCAAAATGACCTTGCTATGTTAGAGAAATGGTCAGAGGTAAACAGGATGAGGTTTAATAAAGAGAAATGCAAAGTGCTCCACTTAGGAAGGAACAATCAGTTCCATACATACAAGATGGGAAGCGACTGTCTAGGAAGGAGCATGGCAGAAAGGGATCTAGGGGTCATAGTGGACCACAAGTTGAATATGAGTCAACAGTGTGATGCTGTTGCAAAAAAAGCAAATATGATTCTAGGTTGTATCAACAGGTGTGTTGTAAGCAAAACTCGTGAAGTCATTCTGCCGCTCTACTCTGCACTAGTTAGGCCTCAGCTGGAGTACTGTGTCCAGTTCTGGGCGCCACATTTCAAGAAAGATGTGGAGAAATTGGAAAGGGTACAGAGAAGAGCAACAAGAATGATTAAAGGTCTAGAGAACATGACCTATGAAGCCAGGCTTCATGAACTGGGCTTGTTTAGTTTGGAAAAAAGAAGATTAAGGGGGGACATGATAGCGGTTTTCAAATATCTAAAAGGGTGTCACAAGGAGGAAGGAGAAAATTTGTTCCTCTTGGTTTCTGAGGACAGGACAAGGAGTAATGGGCTTAAAGTGCAGCAGGGGAGGTTTAGATTGGACATTAGGAAAAAATTCCTAACTGTCAGGGTGGTCAAATATTGGAATAAATTGCCAAGGGAGGTGGTGGAATCTCCCTCTCTGGAGATATTTAAGAACAGGTTAGATAGACATCTGTCAGGGATGGTGTAGACGGAGCTTGATCCTGCCTTGAGGGCGGGGGGCTGGACTCGATGACCTCTCGAGGTCCCTTCCAGTCCTATGATTCTATGATTGAAATAATCTGAAGGGCTGTGCCTGTGCTGGCATTCACGGGGTTCATACCCCGCTGAGGGAGAGCAGCTCCTTGCTGTGACCTATCCAGTCTGAGCAGGCCCAGACCTGAGGGGGAGTTGCACGAAACCACCAGGGAACAGCCAGAGGCTGCAGGAAGTGGGGTTGGGAGTAACTTAACCTCTATTGTTGGGGTGTTGTAATTGTCCCAGAAATGCATTATAAACCCAGGGAAGTCAGAGTCCAGGAGACACTTAAGTGAGTCCAACGTGTTAAGGTATGAAACTACGTAGTTCTCCTTCAAGTGCTTATGTCCATTCCGTATTCAGCATGTGAGCTTGACACGTGCACTGGTGCCGGAAGCTATTCCTTCAGCATTATCCACAGGGGTCCAGATCTGCACCCATTGGGATGGTGCACACGTGCCGCTGTGGAAGGGGAGCTATCAGCTCCCCCAACTCTGATCCTTCTTGCCTCCACTGACTGTTGGGACGGCTGCTCTCCGGCTGGTATTGTTTGGTCTCTGTCCTTGGGAACTTTACTAACCCTGTAATTTAATTATATGTAGCTAGTAGTTACATCAGCAACCCTTAGTAATAGTTCTTAGTCTTTCAGTCCCAAACAGACGTCAGCCTGGAGATGGGGCACACCCTGGTCCCCAGGTTTAAGCTATGCCCCATTTGCAATCCCCACAGCAATTATCTTAGGGGCTTGGGTAAAGGGCACATAAGTGACAAGTGTCATATTTTCAAGTCCTTGAAACCCAGGACAAAAGGGAATCGTGACAGCTGTCTGCAAGAGCTCCAGGTGAAGTCCGAACTCAAGCTGCAGTGATGGGACTTGGCAGCGAGCACTGTGGCATCAGTGCTGAGTGTCTGCTGGTGATTCCTTGACTCCAGCCAAGAAGCTGAAGGCGACAGCAAGGGGAAAAGGAGCAGGAGGCGAGCCAAGACCTGTGCTGGGCAGCTCAATGCCCTTTTGAGAAGTCGGGCCCCAATTCAGGTTGAGCCGTGCAGCCCATCCTGTATCTTGCCTGTGTCTCTGGATAACAGTACAGGCCCCCGTTAGCTTCAACTGCTGTCAGTGCCTGAAGCCCATGCAAGCAGCTCAGGAGATCCTGATGCTGCCCACACCAGCTCCAGTGGTGCCTCACTCCCAAAGTAAACCTGCTTTGGAACCTCTGTATGTCCCCACCTCAGCAGCACTGTTCCTCATCGCGACTGGGACGTCACCACTGCTTGCCCGCCCGCCCAAAACTGTCCTGCCTGAGAATAGAGTTGCCAGGGGTCCGGTATTGGCGTGTACAGTCCGGTATTTGTGGCCTCTGTCCTGTTTAAAAACAAAACAAAACACAGAAAATACCAGACATTCATTTATTTATTTGTATTTATTCATTTAACTATTTTTACTCCGCCTTTCTATTTAAAATATTCAATATGTAAAATGTCCGGTGTTTTCTGTTTTTCTGGGACAGAAGGCTGCTTGGGACATTCTTCCCCTGCGGCATCTGGCAGGGGCAGGGAGAGCGTGAGGATTTAAATGGGCAGTGATTCTTTTTTTGTGCAGTTGCGGGTTTGGGTTTTTTGGTTTTTTGGGCTTTTCTAACTTGACCAATTTTTTTCCCCGCCATATTTGGTATTTTTTGTGAAAGTATCTGGCAATCGTACGTCAGAGTGAGAGACAGGCTCAGCTGAGTCTTCTTCGGTTGTCAGGCCTTGGGCACCAACAGCTGGATTTAGAGGTGCACCTTGCCAGTAGTCTGCCCCAGAACTATCGAGGTGCATGAACAGATCACAGGACCAACTGGGGGACTGAAATCACCAATCGCCAGCCTGTTAGCTGTGTCTGAGACAGAAATTCCACAGTGATCCTCCTGGCAATGGGCTCATGGTCCCACTCTACCTCCCGGCACCAGTCAGGAGGCATAAGGGGTAGGTCCCCAGATTCCCAACACCTCACCAAGACATTCAGCTCGCTCCAGACTGGTTTTCCTCCAGGCGCAGTGGCTTGCAGAGGGGGGTAAGAGCCACCGCTCCGCCCAATCCTTGTTACCTGGGGGCGACCAGTTTGGTTATAGCTCCGCCACGGGGCAGGGTTCCCTGATTTCGGGACAGGCGGCAATGCCTGCAGTGCCATCCACACCAGCAGCCCCAAAATCCATCCCAGTGGCCAGCGCCTGATGCCCATAGAACCCTTAGGGTTCACTCAACCCTCCCAGACTGCCTGCTTGATGTCAGGAGCCTTTAAATAAATGGAGATGCCTATCTCCTAGAACTGGAAGGGACCTTGGCAAGGTCATGGAGTCCAATCCCCTGCCCTCACAGCAGGACCAAGTACCATCCCTGACAGATTTTGCCCCAGATCCCTAAATGGCCTCCTCAAGGATTGAACTCATAACCCTGGGTTTAGCAGGCCAATGCTCAAACCACTGAGCTATCCCTCCCCCTGGCTTCTGACATGCCAGTGGTCTTGGAATCCCGACCCCATCCGACGCTCAAGGCTTTGGAGCAAAAGGAGAATCCAGGAGCAACCTGCTGGACCACCAATGGACGTTGAAGGTCCTGCAGCGTCAGCAGCATCCTCATCGTCGCCAGCTGAGGCTGTCGAAGGCCCCACTCCCAGTTCCTTGGGACGACACCAAGTTGCACCAGGAACAATTGATGAGGGATGCATCGAAGCTGGGGCTTCCGGCTGAGGAATTGGAAGAGCCTTTGGACACCCTGTTTGATAGTCTCAGTACATAGGTTTATGAAATTATTATGTATGGATTTGTTGCATTATTTTCTGTCCTGTCTCTACACTGAGACTAAAGAACTTTGCCATCTGTTAACATTCACAGAATACAGTGCAAAGCCCAGTATTCAGACTCAGTTTTAAAAATATTTTACAGATTTGCCAGTAAGAGGGTAAGAGAGAGAACCCAGAAAACAAACTACTTTAAACAGACACATACAAAAGTCCGTCTCACTACCTTAGTCTGGTTGGCTTTTAAAGACTGAGATACGATTGTCAGTCACAAAGATAAAGAGCATTTTTCAGTTCTGAAAGCCAAAACTTTCTCCCTGAAGCATAACTTCTATTTTGGAATCTGACAAGTGTGACAACTTGCTCTGTCCAATCCTGAGTTTTCTGGGGCACTTGTTGTATTTCCAGTTGAGGGTCTGGATGTTAACGAGCTGTCTCTGCCACTAATGGCTAAGTGGATCAAAATGTCAGTAATGGTCCCCAGTCCAGGAGAGAACAAGCAGCTGTTTAGAATGATGCTTATTGTAGTCATACAGTTTGAAATGTAGTTTTATTGCCTCTCTTCCAAAAGTGTTGAGCATTTGCAGCTCCCATTGACCCTAGTGGGCGATGGGGCAATTCCAACAGCTCTGAAAACCAGACCATTAATTTTTATCTCTTATGACTCTATGAACATCGTTATGATTACGTTTAGTTCTGTTCATGTTTTCTCTCTCTCCTCTGCCGCTGGTTCCTGTACTCGACACATAATTGCCTCAGCTGAGCATAGAAAGGGCACATACTTTGAATGTGCACTACACAAAGACAGCTAAATCAACATGTTATAATTACTTAAGCATGAATTTTTCATCCCTTTTAAAGTGTGTGGAAGTGGTTTACAAATATTAAAGCATTTGTTGTAAATGTAAGAGCCTTTGCAGATTTCTGCCTCAGAAAATGAAATTTTCACACAGTGATACAAAGAATGGAATAATTTGTGTTTGTTTTGGAGGAAGAGAGGAATAAAAGTATTAGTGTCAGGGGTTCTCTGATTAGGCTCCATCTGTTATGCCAGCTGGACTGATGTTTCTGTGTTCTTCGAAGCAAGTTCTGTTTTGGCATGAAAAGGAGAGCAGGTACATTGAGAATATATCTCCAAACCACAGTACAAAAAGTCCAACATATAATGTACCTTTGCAGTAGAACTTTTGAAATCAGAAGATGCTCTGTTCTCTGCAGGGTTTGCAAATAATGAGTCTAAAAAATGAGTTTTTTTCTACCATTTGAGACAATCCCATATCTCTGTCTGCCAGTTTGTGAAATGGAGTTCAGGTATTCTGAAACTGAAGGAGTGGGGAAGAGGGTGGAAAATTACTGGAAGATCATCTCCCTCCTTTAAAACCAGCTTTATGCTTATTTAGCTCCTTTGATGTCAGGGCAGTGATATACATACAAAGCTGGTGTAATGGAGTGGAGTGTGATTTGCTGTTAGTAAGATGTGCCTAACAGTCTCTGCACAACATGTGGAGAGAAGTTTTCAGAAGGGTGGACTCCCATTGCAGGCACAACTTGTGCCTTCAAAATATACAGTCACATTCGTAGGTTTGTTCAGTTCCCCAGAACACCTGTTTTAAGCAGGGGTTTCAGGGTTGATTGCTTTGGGGTTTTCCTCAGTATGTTTAGAAATGTCAAATGTAATAGTTACGTTGGGTGAATTTACACTAGTGTCATGTTTACGTTACAGTTCAACTTCCTGGTCCAGCACCGAACCTTCGAGCATATGCTAATTCACCCACTTCAGTCACTGTCACGTGGGACACACCATTGTCAGGCAACGGTGAAATCCAGAACTACAAGCTGTATTACATGGAAAAAGGGACAGATCATGAACAGGTAGGACACCTCTCTATATAGCTCTGTCTTTCTCCAAACATCTTGCCAGGTATTTGACTGGCAGTTTGCATAATGCCAGCATATTAAGGGTTAAACAACAGAGCTGTAGAAAACCAAATATCTAGCTGAACAGAATGGAATTAAGGCAGTTTTCCGCGCTCCAGCTCATCTCGCTTAGCAACAAACTGCTACGTGACTCATTCTGGCCTAGTCTACACTTAACAGTTACATTACTTCAACTACAGTTAGTTAAGGTTAGCAATATTAACTTGGACTGAGGGCTTGCTAAATGTGCAGCTAGACTTACTCTTTTAGGGAAACCAGAACAGCTAATTAAATTGCTGGCTTTAATGTGATCGCTAATCTAAGCTCTGCAAATATTTCCATTGCTTGAGTCCAGTGGCTCAGCTCGCAAAGAGGATCCCACTTACTTCTCCCAAGGGGCTTAGCTTTGTTGACTCAAAGATTAGGGTTTAATGGAAGAAGCAACAATGCTGCTGCTGCAGCAGATTGAGTTGGGTTGCAGGTTTCTCAGGGTGGTGTAAAAACCAGAGTGCTCCAGATTTTCCCATTTGTCTGTTAATTTTTGCGTGCCTGTGACTCACTCTGCTGTGTTGGCTCTGCTCCCAGCCACGGGACTCGCACATCTCGCCACTCCAGGGGCTGCAGCCCAGTGCGCAGGGACTGGTTAGGTTTGGACCAGCTGTCCCTCTGTCACTGCGGGGGCGGAGGCTTGGCCCAAGCCTGAGTAGGTTGCTGCGCTTGCTTGGAGCCAGGCCTGTCGAGATTGCTTTCGGAGTGCGCTGCATGTCTCTCTTTGTTTCTGAATAGGATGTTGACGTTGGAGGTCACTCCTTCACCATTAATGGATTAAAGAAATACACAGAGTACAGCTTCCGAGTGGTAGCCTATAATAAACATGGCCCTGGAGTCTCCACCCAAGATGTTGTTGTGCAAACTCTGTCAGATGGTGAGCTGCTTGAGTCCAATTTTCTTGCGGAAATCATGTCGGGATCTCTTCTGCTTCAATGGCTCTTTAGAGTGCAGGCGTTTCGTACAAAACTGTATCATGAGGACGTGGTCGGGGCACATGCTCACGCATTCTGAATGGGCTTCTTTGAGATGGTTGTAAGTGGGTTGAAGGAAATTACTCTACCTTCAAGAACATCTGGTTTTTTCTAATAATTAAGCAGTTATTTCCCTAATATCCCTACTCTCCAGATCACATCATGAGCTAACGCTTAGACGAAATATCTAGATAAAAAAATGCAGAATGCTTCTGAAGCTGGTAACTCCAGGTTTTTTATTTTCTGTAATTTACTGATTGCAAGCCAGTTTTTCAAGCGAATATGATTCATAAGATGGAGATCTTACGTTATAAACATTAACCACAGCATAAATACTTGCTTAGAATGAGTAAGTCCTAGAATCAAATTAAAAGGTGCTTCTCTTTAGTGGCACTTGGAGCACAGCTCTGATAAGTTAATGACTCTTTGATGTTTCATATTTGTTCTTAAATTTTCCCATTTTTCTTCTCCTTTTTCCCCCCTTAAACAACAAACTTCACAGGTGAATTATTAGATTGGGAAACACACTGTGTATTTGTAATCTGGCTCCCACGTGGCTATGGTTAAATTATTTGTATTTATTGCTAAAGGCAGATGATTGTATTTTGGTCAAGCCAATCAGAAAGGGAAGCAAGTAAATTTGGATACATTACAAAAATTGTGGCGTGGCCACTGCTCAGCCTGGCTTTTACCTGTACTGCTTAGCTCTGTAATATGCTTGTGATTTTTAGTCTTTATGCCCTTTGGATGCTTCCCTTGTTGAGGTTTCCCCCCTGCTATTTGCAAACAGGCTCCACTGGCAGAAAATTTTCGGATTTTGTTTTCTTCCTCAGTCTATTTTTGACCTTGTGAAAGAGGACAGGGGTTAACACCCCCTGTGCTCCCACCCAGGCAAGAGCCTGCCCTGCTTCCCTGGGCATGAGGGTCTAACCAGGCCCCATCATAAACTACAGGAGCCATAGGAGAGCACTCCGTTGATGCAGTGGTTCTCTAGGGTGTCCTCAGCATGCTCTGATCCCAACCTTTACAGCTTGGTTATGCTGCAGCCTCACGCTAGCCCCTTCCACTGTGCTGGCTTTTCACATCTATGCCAGGAGACGCCGCTCTCCCTTTGGGATAACGTCATGTGACTTGCACCACTGAATCCGCGCCTAATAGGGTCTGAGGTTCTCTAAACAGCCTTTGCTTCATTTTCTCAGAGCCTAATTCTAATGTCTGGATACTGAGGTTGCTGCTGTTTAACTAAACAATTTAAGAAAGAACTCCTCATTTTCCACCACTAAGCAGACCTGAGCCCCTTTTTGTATCCAGTTTTCCTTCAGCAAGAAGGATGTCATGTTATAAAGAATTTGGCCAACATTTCACATTTGGATGCATAAAATTAGGAATCTAAGTAAATGTCTTGATTTTAAAAGATAGTTAGCAGCTGTCTCTTCTAGTGTTGTCAGTGGGAAATCTAGATGCTCAGGAAGTTTGACTAGCAGGCTACTTGGATTCAGGCACTCAGGTTAAAGAAGACCCACTTAGCTCCACACTTGCTGTGTATCATAGAGTGAGAGCTATTTAATCAGTATATAACATATGGTCTAAACAAGAGATTGGGATTTGCGTTTTATGCAGTGGATCAGTATTGGAGGAACTGTTACTTAAGAGTTTTTCAAACATTTCTAGTCCCCAGTGCTGCGCCCCAGAACCTGTCACTGGAAGTGCGGAATTCCAAGGTAAGATACTGTTCATTTGCCATTTTTGACAGGTGGGTGCAAAGTAGATGGAGCCCAGACAGACTAACATTTCAGGCCTCCCTAGACTCTTCCTTCCAGTCCCGCCACCCCTCAAGCAGACTCTGACACAACTCCCTGTCCCAGATGGACTGCCCCTCTGCAGATCTGAGGCCTGATCCACTTCATGCAGATCAGTCCAGTACTATTTGTCAAGTACTGTGGTTCAGGGCAGGCTTATTCTTTCCTGAACATCACCAGATTACCCCAACCTACATGCCCTGAACTCCCAGCCTCGTGGCTCACTTTGTCAGTGTTGGTACGGCTCACGTCTTACTCTAGAAGACTGTGTCTACTGCCTTCCATTTATTTGTGCATGTGCTGACAAACTAGAGGAGTTCCGACCCGGGGTTTGGAGCAGAACAGGCTCCATTGTGGAGTAGGAGCGCACGTAGCTGAATGGGAGTTGGACAGCGGCAGCACCAGGGCAAAGCACAAAGGCTCCGTATTGTGGAACAGAAGAGTTTAGCTCAGACACACAAGCCTGAAGGTGTCCAAGTGGTTACCTCTGCCCTGTGTGTTTGATTTATCATGACATGCATGTGTGTGCAAACAGATGTGTATATAGGCATTATTATAAGGTAGCCTCTGGGGACTTTAAAATAAGAGACCCAGGTGCACATTTGTTGTGATGTCAGGTGCTAACATTTGGGTTGGGTTTGCAAATGAATTACACGTTTTGCAGAGGAGTTATAAATTCTTTCCCGAGTCTTCCCTGTGTTAGTGTGTATGGGTTTGTGGATTGGGCATGGAACAATATTTAAAGCAAGATCGTAATGCATGGAGCATTAGGAATAAAGCAGTCGGATTAGCTGGATGGGAGGCAGTGATTTGTAATGCATTTTAATTTTCGTAGAGCATCATGATGCATTGGCAGCCCCCTCCTACAGGAACACACAATGGTCAAATCACTGGCTACAAAATTCGCTACCGCAAAGCATCTCGTAAGAGTGACATGACTGAGAGCATTGGTGGGACACAGCTGTTTCAGCTCATCGAAGGTAAGCTAGCTTACGCCATTCAGTCCAAACAGAAAGAAGCCACAGTTCCCCCAAGCTCCTATCATCAGGCTCTGAGTAGGTCCTGATTATGTCTGGGAATGGTGGGTTTGAAAGCCAGGTTCCATACACACCTACCCCTTATAGGGGACCTGAAATGGGGTTTACATGAGTTAATTGTGGTATGTTTGGAGGCAGCCTGGGACAGCAAGGAGTGCAGGGCTGAAGTCATGACCTGAGCTCTAGTCCGAATTTTGCCATTGGCTTGCTGTGTGAACTGGGCAAGTCCTTAAGCCTCTGCTTCCTTCTCTGTAACGTGGAACCTTTGTGAACAATTTTGAGATGCTGTGTTGAAAGTACCAGCGTCAGGTTTTAGTTGTCGAGAGAAGTATTGTTCTGAATGTGTTGCATAGCAGAAGGAATCGGGACACTCAGCGTGTAGTGATTCGTAAGATTTTGCTGATTTTTGAATCTCTGATGTCACAACTAGCCAGCTACAGGTTTTGCTATAAGAGAGAAAATATTTAGAGCTGTGCACATCTGCCGATAGTCACTTGATATTTGCAGCCCATGTTTGCAGATCACAGGCTGGATGTGAATACACATTTTTTGGCCACACAGGGTTCTGAAAATAATACCCTGACTAGGTGAGCACACGTAAGGGAAATGGCATGATTTGCTCCTAGATCTGATGAGTCTGTGCCCAGTGAGTTTCAGTAGTGCTGTGACTCTCTAGGGTGGAGCAAGCTTTTGTTTAGGTCATGTAAAGCCAAACCAAAGTAGACTTAGAAACTAGGAATGCAAATGGTTAACCGGTAAGCCTCCCCCTTAAGGGCTTACCAGTTCCAGTTAACCCGAGGAGTCTGGAGCAGCTTGCTGTGGGCAGAGGGCTGCTCCAGCAGGGAGTGCTTCAGTGTGGCCAGAGCAGCCCGTCTTCAGTGGACACGGTTTGGTGCACCTCAGCCAGGGGCGGCCACTCCGGCTGTTCCCACTTTAATCGGTTAACTGGTTAAACATTACATTTAACTGACTAACCAAATAAACAGGGTTTTACATCCTTATTAGGAACTCTTATTTTGTTTCAGACCTGTCTTACTCCTGTCATTAGGGAAATTCAGCATGTAACCCATAGCACTAGTGCAGTTAAATGGACTCTGTCAGAACAATCAGAATTTTAAAAACTTAACATCATTTAACATGTTAGTGTAAAATTTTCAGAGGAGCGGTACGCCTTTAAAAATAGTGCTCGTAACCCCGACTTTACAACAGTTTGTTGTCTAAAATAGTAAAGTGGAGTGATTAGAAATCTAATCTAGAAAGGAGAATGTTTGTCTGTCTGTGCGCTAATAACTGGGGCACTGTAAGAGCTACCGCAACCAAACGGCACGGGGTAACCTTTCCACCAGGAGAAGGTTTTAAGTACTTTTGGCAGTGCGGGGAGAAGCGGCTTCCCGGAGGAAGTGGTGGGGCCAGTCACTCACGAAGGCTGGCGGTGGAGGTGCAAGGGGAGGGGCGGTGCTCCGAGCGGCAGCTGCCCCACTCGCCTCTACCAGGCCGTTCCACTGCGCAGGTGTGTCCGGGGTAGGGGAGCCCCCTTCTCCCTCCCACTCATGATATCACTCAGCCCAGGCCCCTCCCCTCATGCAGCAGCCGAGGGTTGCTGAGCGGTGGGCTGGAGCTCACGGATGCCACTAGGGGGCGGTTGCAGGCGCAGCGGGGGGGGGCTTATGGGGAGGCAGCGGTGGCGGTGCTAGGAGTGGCCCGGGGTCCAGTGCAGCATCCTGGTCGCGTAGAGGAGAGCCCAGCACCTGCTTGCTGTGGGAGACGGGAGCCCCCAGCGCGGCCCCATGGTGCAGCAGGTAGCGGGGCACAAGTTTCAGGGTGGGTGGTGGGGTCGTTATCCCCTGCGGCACCTGCAGCCCTGGGCGTGAGCTGGGCCGCCTCGTCCACCCTAGGTCCTGTGCTCGCCCTCTCCTGCCTGCCCCTCACACGGAGCACCCCCAGCAGGACCCCACCGCCCGCCCCGAGCAACGCCAGGTAACTCCAGCTAGTTGCTTATAAACAAAACTGAAATTGAATGCACTGCATAGTACAACTGTATTAGCGTAAAATATCAGAAATAATTTAAATTCTAAACTTTTATTATAATAAACTAAATTGCAAATAACGAAAGTGATTTTGAACAGGTTTTTACTCTAGTATTGTATTCATTTAAAAATTGGTTAATCTTTGAAACTAATATTACTTTAATTGTACCACAGAGCTTTTATCCTTGGGGGATTTTTAAGCTTTGTTTTTCCTTGGAGCATTTCCTCCAAGATGGTGCATTATCCTTTTCATCATGGGTGTGTTAAAGCTCTTTGGATATCACCTTGACTTCTTAGCTCCCAAAACACAGCAGTTGCCACATTGGATTAGACCAGTGGTTCAGCTAATCCAGTATCTTGTCCGTGACACTGATCTATACCAGGTGTTTCAGAGCAAGTGCACAATTATGGAATAATTGCCTACAGAACATGTGTTTTTCAAGCCCTGTCAGTAAGGGTTTATGTTCTTTAAAACAAAAAACCCCACCACTGTGCCATTTAAAGTAACTATAGATATTCTCATTTATATTTGTTTGATACTGTAGTAGTAAAGATACACTTTTATCTTCCCATTACTCTGGTTATAGCTTGTAGATGTTTATCTAAGATGAATAATTTACCTTCTACATACTTTGATCACTCTACAGATGGCACTAATAGTAATGTGGCGGTTTCTTTTGTGCCACTAGCTTGAAAAGCAGTCTTGTTTATTTTG